AAACCAGTACTACAACTTATCCACCTACTACAACAGAAACCAGTACTACAACTTATCCACCTACTACAACACAAACCAGTACTACAACTTATCCACCTACTACAACAGAAACCAGTAGTACAACTTATCCACCTACTACAACAGAAACCAGTACTACAACTTATCCACCTACTACAACAGAAACCAGTACTACAACTTATCCACCTACTACAACACAAACCAGTACTACAACTTATCCACCTACTACAACAGAAACCAGTACTACAACCTATCCACCTACTACAACACAAACTAGTACTACAACTAATCCTCCTACTACAACACAAACTAGTACTACTACACCTAAACCTTCTACTGCCATGCAGGACAGTACAAAGTCTCCTACTACCACTTCTATATGTGAGTTGATTTTCACTATATAAGACAGGAGGATAATTCGCATAAAATATAAATAATATGATACTGTTTAAACTCAATGATTGTCAAGACATTTATAAACAAACACAGTTATTCCTTAACTTAAATAGATTTTTTTTTGCAATGGACAAACTTGACATTACTTTCTATCAACGAACGTTTTGTTCAAGGTACTGTTTTTTACAGATGTCAGAGGATGTGCAAGCAATCCATGTCGAAATAATGGAACGTGCGTGGATGGCATTCTAAGCCGCTACTTTTGCCATTGTCCAAAAAAGTACTTTGGACGCAACTGTAACGAAGAATTCAGTAAGTTTAGCTCTTCTTTGAAGTATATAATGGTTATAGTTCCTTTCCATATACACGACTTTCACAATTCTTGGTGTGCAACCCCCAAAGTGAAAATTTATTAGTCGTTATTTTCAAAAACCAAGTAGCGAGTCACAAAGAGCATAGTCAGATTATCAGCTAGAATACGAGCTTTTAAGGCTTGCAGCTTACTTTCTGATGAAGATATCAGAGAATAAAGATTTGAAAGATTTGGTTAATTTGTATGGGGACGCCATCTTGGATGATAACTTTGATCATCCAAGATGGTGGCTGGTTTCAAATTGACTTCAAAAACTCTGKTTTCCTTGATTTCCTTTGTAAATTTTGTTCAATTATGGTTTTTTTTCAAAGAAAAATCACCTTAAGTAAGTTCTTACGGAGTTGAAAGAATGATTTATCCAATTTCGAAGTTTTTGTTTACGACCTAAAAGTAGAATAAATTAAACTCCGCACAAACTAAAACTTTTGTGATTCGCCACCAAAGCGTTGAATTCGTCTGAAAATTTCCATACACACTATCTAGTATATTTAAGATATACTGTAAGAACAGCTCTTTAGCAAAAATATTTTGGATTTTGCGAGATTTTTTGCGTGACTATGACATCACATGCACACGAAGAATGGCCGACACTAATTAGCATATTATTGTTAAATTCATAATGTTGACAAAAGAAAACACTCAGATGATAGATATCAAAGCTAAAGATAAGCTCTGAAAGTTCATCAAAGAAAAATCTTAAATCCTCTGGAAGTTATAAGGGTTGCAAGATGAAAAAAAAAAAAAAACACCAAAACGAGGCCACCAAGGCCTCAGTAAAGAATTTCATACAAATCCTTGTATTTTCATTCCTCCATAACTCCGTTAACATTTAGTCTATATCGTAGTTATAGATAGTGTATCTCTTAAAGTCTCAAAACGCTTTACAGTTCTGTGTGCGTACATTGCAGTCATGTGGTAAAAGTGTATAAAGCCGCTTGCCCTGTAATGGACTTCTGAACATTTCGCGTCACTGATTGATGTTCAATGCATTGTGAGATCAGTTTCTAGCGAAAACAAAAGAAATCCCCCATGTTCTGTCCCTAACATATCCTACAATGCATTGCGTATACGGTTCATGACGCACTGAAAGCTTCGGAGGTCTGGCGTCTGTTTTGTCGAATTGCAGCAAAGCTACAATCGTGGACATAAATGTTGACAATTTTTACGCACGCACGAAATTTCTAACATTCTTCGTCTCGATAAAACCTTACTCGTGCCCCCCTTCCCCCAATACAATGTTGTGTGGCTTTCTTTTCATTGGTTGTCCATTCATTAACCCCTGCATGCAACATTGATGCGGGAGGGGAGGGAGGGAAGGGGAATATTTTCAGTTTATGCACACGATACAGTATTTGTAATGCCCAAGCGAAAAATTTTCAAGTATTTATGTCCAAGATTGTAGTATATCTCAAATGATCAAGATGGCGGTCGTGTTGACAACAATTCATTGATTATAATATAATAATGTTTTAGTAATGTATACTCGAATCTTATGCAACGTGGTTACTATATAACAGTCACTTTTTTGTATTTCGAATGGCAACCCTGTTCATACTCAGAACAGATAAAATACTGATAACATATATATAATAACAGTGCTCTTATTTCAATTTAATAAAATTGAATAGGAACATGTTTCTTCATATCAGGCGAGAGTAGAAATTTCTTGAACAAAGTTATATAGAATATATTTGATACATCAAATAATTCTATATCAAATTGTTCAATAGCAAGATGATAGTGGAAAAACGTTTCCACCAGATGTGTGAAATAAGGGTTTGTTTATTCCTATGATAAGCGAATTTTATTGATTTCATGTATAATATGTAAATGTTTTATTCGTATAAGACATTAGTCAATTTGCGACTAGTTTTCTTCACGGTTACTTGTGCCATCTTGAAATGTAAATGTGTGTGCCTTGATATCGAAGCGAGACAACCGTTGATCTTGCAATGATAAATACCTAATTCTCTGTAGGTAGGTCTGAAAGACTAGGTTTCCATCATTGCGCGCTCAGCGGTCGTCTCACTTCGATACAAAGGCACGGCTACCTTTCAAGATGGCGCAGGAAACCGTGAAGGAGACTATTTCGTCGCAGTAGTCCTACTCAAAAAAATATCAAGACGAGTCACTCTGCATAAAGGTCACTGAGTCGTGAAAGGATATTATTGTCTTTTCATAAATGACTGAGCGTTATGCACGGCGCCACTTCTTGATTCCTAGCTTTGCGTATGACTGCTGAGGCAAAATCCGTAAGTTGGCTATTGGATTGCTTAATTCTCATATATGCTATAACAGTAAACATCTTATCTTAGTTTGTCTTAACAAAATGTGTTGTTATTGTCCATGTATGTAATCCNTGGTAGGATACCTGAAAATATGAAAAAATAATAATTTTATGGAAACTTTAGCGTAGCAGCTTCGTTACGGCCAACAAAGAAAAATCTCGAAGTATCCTACCATAGATCTTTTTAAAAGCTTTCAGTCTATAAGCCCCCCAAATATCTCTCGAAAATAATGTAATCTGAAAGAGTTATAAAGTTTAACAAACGGTGCTTTGTTAAGAACGTCGAATTCTGGCTACGGAATATTGGACGATTTTTAACCCAAAGACGCAATATCCAGTCGCCATTTTGTTTCTCAAGTCACATTACGTCATATCGTGCGATTTATTGTCGATTTATTGCCGATTTTCCCTTGAAAACCCGCCGAAATCGATCGGAGTTGAATCGGCCCTTGTTTCCCGCGAAAAGTAGCATATAAACATGATGTAATCCATTGCAACACCCACGGAGCATATGGAGATTACTGTAACACGAGCTAGAAAATTCTGCTGTTCAAATTGACCACGAAAAACAGCCAACAAACTCATTTTTTGTCTCCAATAGACAGTTCTAGCTACATAACATTAGAAGTGTATCCTGTATTTAAAATGGGTAATTCTGAATGAGCAAACAACGACATTGTAACCGAATACTCGCATGTTCCAGGTAGTAAACGCATAGTGTTTCTCGTGTTTCACAAACAAAGCACAAATTTTCCCGCGAATTTATGAAGTTCTTGGTTATTTTTCTCATAGAAATATAATGTTTTGAAGATTTAAAACAGACACAAGTTAGTTATACCAAAATAAACCCAATGAGCGCGAGAAGAGTCGAAATTTTTTTCAGGCATGAGCCTTTCCTCAGACCTTAAGTGTTTTGTTATATTGGTAAATGTGAATAAAAATAAATCAAAACACATTGCAAGATGATTTCCAATAATACTTTATTGTGAATAAAATAACTGTGAACGTCGGGACAAAATAGCAAGATGTTGAGCGTTTAGATTACTGCATTGTGCTTGAAAATAAAAATAATATAAATATACAAATGCCAAAAAGCTAGCAAAACTTTATGGATGAAACAGTCAATGAGTTCCTGAATAGAAATTTAACCTGACATTTGTCCAAATTCACCGTTTCTCTCTTGGTTTCTCTGCAGAATTCTATCAGAGTCGTAGCCACAGCAGTCTTTGTAGCTTTGTTAGTGATTTCCAAGTCTTTGTTGACAACCATTTCGTCTATTTCTTGACTAAGATTTGAAAATCTGTTTTGATGCCGGCTCAACTTTGCGAAAGCAGCAAAAACCATTCCCGCCTTTACAAACTTTTACTCGACGCGAGGCGGCCTTTTCCCGCCAATGGCCAAGCGGTCAACAATCGCCAAACTGTTGACCGATCAGTCAACAGTTGATTTTAGCTCCKKACAMGTGACAYCGAATCGYCCAATAAGAGAGCGAGAAAACAGTGAAAATAATTTACCAATATAACAATGACCTTTATTTACTCTTTGCAAAGATGATTACAATGTCGTGCTAGTCACGGTTGAATCACGGATGAATGACTACGGTGTCGTTATTCATGAATGAAGACATCGTCAGTATCATTGATAGCTCATGTATACATACATATCAATGTACTAGCAATTACGGCTCTAGCTATTACGGCTGAGGAAAATGGCTTTTCTATTAGCAGTGATGATATTTCTACTCACTCAAGTAGATTCGGTGGTTGGTAAGAAAAATCATTATCACACATATTAAGCTGTTGGAGTAGTGTGTCATAGTTGATTGTTATGATAATCGTTATTCTTGGGTTGCAACCCCCGAAGTGAATATTTATCATTCGTTATTATTCGTTATTTTCAAAAACCAAGTAGCAAGTCAYAAAGMGCAYASTCRRATTWTCTAGAATACRAGCTTTTAGTCCTGTAGCTTACTTTTCGATGAAGATATAAGCGAATAAAGCTTTGAAAAATTTGGTTAATATGTATGGGAACGTCATCTTGGATGATAACTTTGATCATCCAAGATGGCGTCTGATCTCAAATTAACTTTAAAAACTGGTTTCCTTTGTAAATTTTGGTCAATTATGACTTTATTTCAAAGAAAAATCTGTATATTAGCCGGAGAAAAAATATTCTATAGCATTAGCTTTCGTCTTCTTGTATAGCACAACAGGATTGCATACCGGCTCCAACACAAAGGACATAAAAGAACAAGTTGTGCCATATAGAAAGTATTTCTTTCTATCAAAAGTTCGTCAGTTTCTCTCTATCATGCGACAAATTCTTTAAAAGAAATGAGAACGTAACTGTATTTTGTAGAGATTTAAAAAAGAGTCTGGCGGGATTGGACTAAGAGCCTACATTCCAATTAAATTTTATAAGAAATACAAACTAAAAATAAATGCAGGAAACTTGCGTTGATCGAAATAAACAACTTCTTTCCGTCATGCGTTTTTTATCTTATAAATAACCTTCAGCAATCACTAAATCCAGAACGTTAAGATACTGTGTTTTATTTTTGAATTGTACAAGTGATAAAAACTCGGCGGTGCGCCAACTCTGATATAATGCAAAAAGGTAATGCAATATTTCGCTCTGTTACCCTTTCGTACGATACGTATTAATTCAGCATTTATCTTATATATCACTGAACTTGACATAAGCACAAAGCAGCATTTCATTTACACTATTATCATTAGATTAAAAAAGGTCTATTACATATTTGAAAAAGACATCATAAAAGAGTTTTATAGAATGTTAATAA